GGGGTGGCTGTTGGGGGTCTAAGGTGTCCATATTTGAATTTTAGATGCTATAGTGCTTTCCATCGTATTCGATTTCGACACGAGGCATTTCAATGCGTTAGAGTATTTAGATTCTCTCTCTCTTTCTATATATATATATATATATATATATATATATATATAGGGTGTGCGATAGACTAAAGGGCTAATGATAAATATCATAAAGCCTGCCATTTGCTATAAATAAATAAATATATATATATATTAGTTAGCAGTTGGGTTAAAAGGGTTTTAAATCTTTTTGAAGTGGATAATAACTAAAAATGATAGAGAAATATGTCGATATTTCATAATAACAATCCGTATTCCCTTATACATTATCGTTTTGCTTTCTTTAATAAAGATTATAATAAAATTTCCCCGTTTCTACCGTTTCTATCAAAGCTGAAATAAAATCTACCTTATCTGTTGTTTTAAAGTTTAAGTCGGTGTTATAGACAAGCTAATGTTTCCTTTAGAGTTTTGAAGCTTTTTTTGCAATTCATTGACAAGAATGATTAGTTCGAGGTGGATTTAGATAAACTATAAATGCGATTGATGATAGGCAGATAAAATTTTCCCTCTGTCGTTTCGTCCTTAAAATATAGAAGCCACTTGATTGTTGTGCATCTCAAAAGATTATGTAAAATTAAAATCATTTTTCGTAAATATGTAAGAATTTTGATAAACAATTAGTAAATCTTCCTGGTCAATAACTGAACAATAATTTTGCTAGTGTCGCTTTTAATTAATCAAATTCCAGGTTTATCCTGATTCGCACAAATTTCAGTTCTGTCTATGCGCATAATTTGTTTGTGCGGTTTTTACTGTTAAATATTGTGCTTATTAATTTACATCAAATCGTTCTGTGCTGATTTTTGCTTATCTTGTGCATAAGCTTGTTTATTATTTCTATTTTCTATTGATGAATACTATTTGATCAACATAACCATGCCTGAATCAAACCCAAATACCGCGTCTGAGGATGAATATGACTTAAGGCAATGCGCCGAATGGCTAAACAGATGTCGGATTATTCCTGATGACCATCCAACCCTTATGCCTGACGGATGTGGATTACAGTTGGTTCAAACGCTCATGGATGGCGTCAAAATTTGCCTTCTCCTTAACACCTTGACTAATGGCGAGGTCGATCCTCGTAAAATGAAAGATTTCAGTCCGCAAACCCAACAATCTCCATTTTTATGCTGTCAAAACATCAGATTGTTTGTTAAGCTTTGCGAGGAGGAATTCGGGATCGAAAAGAAGTATCTTATCGAACCCAGCGACTTGTACCACGCCAAAAATTTCGGAAAGGTTATTGAACTCTTATCGAGATTGTCACGATGTCCTCGAGCTCAGCTCTCAGGAATCTCGTATGTTTATTTATTTCTGTAGTTTATGCCATTGTTTAGAGGATTTCCTCCTGAAAACGGCAATCTTCAAGTTCCCCACGAATATTATAACAATCTGAAAGATATTGCGGCCTCAATGTAACTAGAATTTTGGTTTTCTTAAATAATTTTTTGCCAATAGGGAGGACATGCAGATTGCAGCAGATTCCAATTACGCTGATATGGATGAAGATACCAATGAGATTGTTTATGATACAATCGTTCATGGTGGTAAAAGTGCAACAGCTGTAATTTTCATATTCTTTTTTTACGCAAATAAATTTTCCAGCAACCTGAAGATGAGCCAACTTCTCCGCGATCATTTTGTATAAAAGAGATTGTTACGACTGAGAAAAATTATGTCGATGTGTTGAAAATGCTCATTGAGAAATATAAGTGGCCTCTTTCAAAGTGTCTTTCTTCACAGGAATTGGAAGAAATTTTCAAGTATATAGAGGTAGGCATTGGAATTTCCGTGTATTGATTATCAACTTTTCTATTCAGGATCTTCATTGTATTCATCGGGAACTCTTGTCCAACTTGAGTCTTGCAGTCAGTACCACTTTAGCTGTAATGACTCTCGGAGAGGTTTTCATCAAAATCCGTGATCGGCTGCTCATTTATGGAGAGTACTGTGGTCATGTCCAGAAAGCCCAAACCCTGGTCTTGGAAATCACTAAAAATGATATTGAAAAACGATCGAAGATTCAGGATTGTCAAGCACAATCGGATAACTATAGTAAATTCCACCTTACGGAGCTCTTAACTGTCCCTATGCAGAGAGTGCTAAAATATCATCTTCTATTAGAGGTTCGTTTATACCAATCAATTTCCAATTTCCATCTTTGATAATAATCATGAATCCACCATTGCTTTTCCCTTCAGCAACTGTGTAAATTAACAGACGATGACCATCCCGAAAAACCGGAGTTACAAACTGCTTTGGATGGCATGCGAGAATTGGCTCAAACAATTAACGAAGTCAAACGCGATTTGGACGTTATCAGTGCAATTGATCAAATTCAAGCTAGGTAAGTGCACTCTCATTAATGATCTTGTAAGCCTTTTAATAAAATCGTTTCGGCCTCGTGCTATTTTAGTATTTTTCGTGTGTGGATTAAGTCCTTTTTGGTTAATTTAAATTAAATATATTTGAGTGTATTTTTTTGCCTTTTGATAAGTGCTCATAATCACGTTTATTTTTTATTTGCCCTTTAGCCTTCTGGAAATTACCTTGGTGAGTAAATACTCTTATTTTTTTGCATATTGGTCATTTTAATTTGAGCTTGCAAGCGAATTACCACTAGTTATTTTGCTGAATATACATCCATTTTCTGCACTCTTCGTTCATTTTCTAATTTGGTTTCTTTCTTTTTTCGACTGAGAGGTCATCAGTTGTTCTCCTAAAGAGGTCTTTATTTTACTGTTTACCCTCTATCCATTTATTACTGTTAATGTATTATGACAAGCAACCTTTTTTACTCTTTACTGTGGAGGGTACCCCATTAACTCCCTTATAGGTCAATCTTACATGTGGAATTCTTCATATTCCCACCTGATTTCTTTTTATGTGTGGTCCCATTAGGCTTTTAACTACCTCCTTTATCACTTTTATGCATTCCAGCACTATATAGATTGAATCCAGCTTAATAGAGGGTGCGGCCTTTTCAATTTTCTTTTCCATAGAATGTATGTTCGTTGAGCTAAATTTTAAAGAAGCGTCAGAATGCTGGTGTGCCTGAATTTTGACCTATTTTCTGGTGCGATGGTGTTCATTTTGGACTGAATTGTATCATTAAACTTGGAGACAATCCTAATCTCAAAAGTGGCTATCCACTTTTCTTCCTCTATACCGGTTTGGCGTTGTAGATTGTTTTAAATTCTCACGGTTTTTTTGTCAGCCACCAACGGACTGTTTTTTTCAATGACGGTCTAAATTATTCTTGTCTTAATTTTTATATAAATGGTGAGCATCTTATGAAACCTTTTGAATTTTGGAGATCTCTCATTCGCCTTCGTTTGAAATTTTCCCATTACCACCACTGGATTATTGTCAAATAGTGTTCTCAAGCTTGGACCTTCCTGTAGTATTCTAGCTCGATTTGGTTTCAAATAGTTTATTGATTTCCTAATTTCAGTAGTGAATTTCTTCTAAAATCTTTCGGTTTTCAAGAAAGAAAGATTGATCTATCTATCTGTCTATAGAAATTGATTTCGTCTAATGAGCGTCCTGACTAACTTGTGGTTGTTAACAATTTACGAATGAATCAATCAGCTGAGAACTCTTTAACCGTCCCTATTCTACTGAATCCCATGTTATCAACATAAAATAAGACATTAATGTTTCTTTGGACTTGAACAGAATTTCCATCTCCCATTTGAGAATTCCAAATGTAACCAATTTGGCGACATAGTTCCATACAAAATCGCCTTCTTTTGGTCGTTTACATGCGCATGTTAAACAGTAAACGTTGCATAATGTAAACATCGCTAGCACCAAAGCACACTGGTTCGCTAAATTGATAAAATCGTTTCGTTACTAGACGTTTTATTTTTCATGAACTGGGCTATTTTTTTTGTGGAATCCGTTTTATCGAGAAGGAAGTATAAGGATCTTCAGGAGGTCGATATCTATAGTCCATAACTTCTCTCCTCCAATAATCTACACTTCAACAGCAGGATAGTGGTGGAAGAGAATAGTACAGGTTCGAATTACTAAATTATCCAACATTAGGGAATTTAAACAGTCCTTAAGTAAAACCGCAATGCTTAGTTCTTAGTTATTCTACTTCCCGTCTACCGACTAGTGTGTCCCCCATCTTTGGTTGATGTCGCAGGATCTCAAAACGTACATCTCTGACTTGAAAAGAATCCACAGTGAGGTTACTTACTGCTATTTAATCTTTATCCATAGGTTTGAGCTACATTCTTTCCTATTCATTTGAACACGTTAATTGAACCTTAATATCCATTTTCTAGTGGTTATTTACTTTAAAAGGTGTTTCGGTGTAATTATTGGCGCACTATCTATAGTATCCAACCGAGAAATGTATACTTTATTCTTCTGCTATAATTATCTATTATCTTTAGGCCTTAATGACTCAGGTCTTATTTCCAGGTTTGTGTTTCCTTTATTTTTCCTATTTTTGCCAGCATCTCCCTCTCTCTTTTACAACAACAGCAGTAATTGCACATACTTTTTGTGTGTTCTAGAAAATTCTTCTACCCGCTCTGTTGTGCCTACGGTGATTATTTTTTTCCGAATTTTCATGACCTTGATGCCTTGAAATTTGAACAGGTTTACTTTTACTGGCAATTCTACAAATATATGTGTTTCACGAACCATGCCTAATTAGCTTGATGGCAAATGGAATCGTAAATCTTAACACGACTGGAGGGTTGCATCTATCCCCCTTCTTGATAGCATTTGACCGGTTTGTTTGTTTTCCCTTGTCTTTATTTATTGCTTACTATACCTTTAAGGTATGCCTAGAATCTTGGAATGGGCTCGTTTTTAAGAGTTTTGCCTCGACTACTCTACTGGGTTTTAAACGTCTTGCAATTATTTATTCAGCTTTAATTTCCTTCAAGTGCTTGCATAAAGAGTGGGAATGTTTTTTTCTGTCTAGTGGAAATTGACCATCT